GACAGCTATATAAATATGATAGATAGATAGATAGATAGATAGATAGATAGATGTAAGAGCTTCAGCTGCCACACAAGAAAAGCTTTCTCAGTCACAAGTATATAGCAGAAAAGCACAGGGACTTAGCAGCCTAAAATGCTGATTCATATGTTTGACTGCTCTGATATGAAGTTGTACCTAAAAGAAAGACTGCAAAGTTATGATCAATATATAGAAAAACAGTCGTTCTCTTCAATGAGCTGGAGCCAGTGCCTTAGACTAAAATCCATACTGTAAGAGCATCTAGGTTTTCTCTTCATGCTTTCATCCTGCCAAAAAGATTATTAAAGCTCATAATTTAGGTCTCTTCTTAAGTTTCATAGAACCCCCCCCCCTTCCCTATTATAGATTGGAAGACTCTGTTTGCAGGATAACTGGAATTATAATGCCTTGAACAGCACATTTTTTTCTCCTATCTTTTAATTAGTTATCAGTATATCAGAGGATCTTGTCTGATGTCTGCAAAACAGCAAGTGTGGAGTCCTTGGTGTTCTCTGATCTTGGTTGTTTGCTTGCAGATATATCATTACCTGGCTAGGTAACATCATCAGTGTGAGTGTGAGGTTTGCTCCCTGTTTATTCATGTAGTCCTTGGGTTAACAATGCCCAGTTTATGGATGACTCATAATTAAGAATGGAGCCTACTGTAGCAAAATTTGAGTTAAATACACAATGTTTCAAGTTAAATACCCAATACTACTTAGATAGTATTATACAATAATACTGTTCTGACTTACATAGAAATCTGAATTAAGGACAGACCTTGGAAATGGAACTCGTTCTTAAACTGGGTACTACCTGTATATAGTAGCTTGCCATGCCAGTATTGGTGTGGGGAGAAAACAACCAACACAAGCTATGAAAAGGATGACACTGCCATTCATCAGAAACATCTCAGAAACAACAACAGATTATTACAACTACATGGCATCACCATAGCACAAACTAAACAAACTAAGCCTCTCCAAAACATCTTAAGTAAATCAAAAGACCCAGTAGCCCAAGAAGAAAAAACAGGAGTCAGACAGACTCAATCATAGTTTCAACTGGGAAACTGTGAGCATCCTAGACCAAGCTAAATCCAAAAACACTAGGGAATTCTTGGAAGCTTGGCACTCAGACACATCAACCATCAATAGACACATAGAGATAAACCACATGCATACATCATTCAGAGACAGACTCAATCATAGTTTCAACTGGGAAACTGTGAGCATCCTAGACCAAGCTAAATCCAAAAACACTAGGGAATTCTTGGAAGCTTGGCACTCAGACACATCAACCATCAATAGACACATAGAGATAAACCACATGCATACATCATTCAGAGACAGACTCAATCATAGTTTCAACTGGGAAACTGTGAGCATCCTAGACCAAGCTAAATCCAAAAACACTAGGGAATTCTTGGAAGCTTGGCACTCAGACACATCAACCATCAATAGACACATAGAGATAAACCACATGCATACATCATTCAGAAGAGACAATAAGAAAGCTGAGAACAGAAACAAAAAGACCAGAACATATCCTCTCCAGCTGCACCAGATGAGCAAGGATTAATACCAGACAATCAAGCAGAAAACAAAACTCTAATCAAGTAACTACCAAGGAGACAAACAATCAAGCAGACAAACAATCAAGCAGAAGACAATACCCTAATCAAGGAACTACCAAGGAGAAAACCACAACCCTACCAACAATGGCAGGACAAGCTACTGTGTATAAACAGGCAGTAAACCCCACACTCTCTAGCACTGATGATGTTACCTAGTCGGATAATGAAATTTCTGCAAGCAAACAACCAAGCTCAGAGAGTACCAAGGACTCCACAGTTCAACCCTGAGCTACATATATTCTCTTCTATTGAAACATAGCAAGTGTTTGGTGAAGATAAATTGTGAAATTTATTTGAAAATGTATGTATAAAAATTCCACTGGCTAAATCTTCCTAATGAGGCTATAGAAATATACTGTTGGAATGGACCTGATAATTTCAATGTACAAGTAGGAAATTTCATTTTTAAATGTTAAAAAAAGAACACCTAGCTCCCTCTATGTTCCTTTCAGTTCCTAGTACTTGAGTAAAAATATTATCTAAGATGCTGTACTCTCTGAATCCCAGTTTTCTCCTTGTAGGTATGTTATCTGGGGGAGGGGGGCATTAAAAATATGGACTTCTTCATTTGCTGCCCAAAATACTAGAGTACATTCTGAATGACAATTTTTGTAAAATAATAATATGCGGCAGTAGTAATAGTGGTTAAGAGTTTTAGTAGCCTCATATATTTTCAAAGGTGAATTTAGGCTTTTTGTTTGTTTGTTTGTTTGCTTTTCTGGAAAAAAATGTACGCTAGGTTCCTGTTCGTTTTCATTCTGCCGTAGGACAGGATGGAAAAACTCAAATCCATCCCCAGCAAGATCAATGGCAAAAATTGTTCACATTCTTGGTGTCTCTGCTTAACAGCTACATGAATTATAGGCACCAGAAGAAAATGTCTTTTTAAAATTCAGGATGTGGTGTGGCTTTCTTTGTTGCTTTTCTTACAACTGTTGCTTATCTTAGTCTTTAAATGGTTTTGCTACTTTGCATTTTGAATAATGACCCAATTACAACATTTAGTAGGTTAAAAATTATTTATACAAACTCGTGCATTAATAAATAAAGTGTTTTAGAAATATATTTTGTACCTTATCGCTGCATTAACAAAGTTGAAGCCTGCAAACCTGTGCACACTTTCTGAGGGATAAATCCCATTAATTTCAATGAAATTTCTTCTTATTAGACATACATAACAAGGTTCCTCAACCAGCCATCTTAAAGTTGCTGAGGTTGTGGAACCCTGATATATAGCATTCTGATGTAAGTAAAATGCACTTCTAACCCAATTATAGTCTACATGGAGCATGTATCTTTATCATGCGGTTAAGATATTCTTGTGTTCCCTACAGTAAAAGTAAAAATGGCCTCCGATAGAGTTCAACTCCTGATAATTACGTCGTGCAGTGTTCCTTGCCACCATATGAAGGTGATTTGCAGTTGCTTTCTTCCAGTTAGCTGGTTTGCTTTTTTATTTTTTTTAACTACCCAGTCTAGCTCATAGTCTTGGAATTCCCAAACTGCCTCCATTCCAGGTATTAAATGGGCTGACCCTGCTTAGCTTCAGAGATGAGACAACAAAGGCTTGGTGCTGCTGCCACCTGCTGGTCATTCGTCACACTGCAGGGTCAATGGGTACTATAGGGAACACCCTTTTCTAAATTGTGAAAGAACCTGTCATCCCACTTCATTTAACATCCAACTTTATTTTATGCTTTTTATTTAAGAGCATAAAAAAGATAGCAAACAACTCCTGCTAGTTACAAAAAAATAAACGTTTTGTAACTTGAAACGAGATGTGTTTTTTCTTCCAAAAAGTTGCTTTCCTACCTGCTCACCTATATCTCAAAATGTTTAAATATATTCTGAGTGCAAAATATTATTCTAATTTTGCTTGGATATAATGTAAATCAATATAACAAATGAAAAAAAAGTCACATTTGGTCAGCAGTAATAATATTCCCATCCTCATATTATTTATTTTCCTTATTTTTTTCTAGGCACGGGCTGATAAGGTTCTAGCTCTCATAATTTTCAATATACTTTTGGACATTTTCAGAAAAATATTATAGAGTTTAAGTGGTTTGTAGGACTGTACAAAGTCAAGCTCTGTAACATGTGGGTGGACATGCAAAGCAACCTCTTTGAATTGTTAAAGCAGCTTTGTAATTTTACCTTGTGTGGCTCTTTTAGAGTCCAGCCCTAGTATGCAGTGACAGCATACTGAATACCCACCTACTTCTCAATATATACTGTACCTAGCTTTTCCTTAGGTTTTCATCATGTTTTTAACCAGAGTGTCTGTAACTTTTCCACAAATATACTGCCATTACCACACACTCTGTTTTTCATCCTCAGAGATTCAAAGCATCAACTATTTAGTTAAGGATAAACTATATATATATTTATGTAAAATAATAGATTAAATTTATTTTTATCAACCACTGGTTTGCACAATTTGCTTATTTATCTTATTGAAACAGAATGTTGATTTCTTAAGCGTGGGAGTTAGACTTCTTTTGATGTTTATATAACAATTTTGCTCTCTGAATGATGGTGAAAGGGAGACAAATGCATTGATAAAACACAGAATTGCCTAACATTCATATTAATGAATTTTTCTATCTAATATTTCCCTACACATTTATTAGGCAAAACAATAAATATCATGAGATAGAGCTATTCTAGCTCACCATCTTCCTTATTTGCCATTTTAGCTTGTCTTTCTCTTCTTTAAACCAGGGCTGACAAACTTTCATTGTCATTAGCACTTCATACCTTTGGGGTGGGGGGCGAGGGACAGTGGGCAGGGCAGTGATGTAAATGAGTCAGTGATTTTGGGGGGGGGGCTTTTTTCTGGTGAGAGTCATGAGTATGTTTTTCTTCGGGAAATTGTATTAAGCCTTTTTTTCAGACTTATACCATAATTTTCATGAATCTCATACATCAAATGATCTCCTTGCAGATACTTGAGTTGTGACCCTTAAATGCAATGCAGTTGATGGGGAAAAGGTAAGAAAACCTACTGTTCATTCAAATGTTTTCTGAATTCAAAGCTGGCATATCGCCTCAAATTCCAGTATAATGGAATTAGCTGGTGACACTTTAGGTCTGAGGATCTAGCCACGAGAGCTTCAAACTGAGCTGCAAAATAAAAAAATATTCTATACAATCATCCAGTCCTCATAGATCTCAATGTTTTATGCATGAGGAGGAAAGATGAAAGGTGTCTGAAAGAGTTATTGTGAACTTTCTTTTGTAAATTCCAGTTTGCTTCATTATCCAATGGAAAGTGAAGGGGCACCTTCTAGCTGTCAAAAATAATATCAATTATAGTCACACTTAAAAAATAGCTGCTTACCGGTGGTGTGCTGAAAATATAGAATGATGAACCCTTCAGTGCCAGGAACTTGAATGTATATAGTTGTGGGGAATCTTCTCCCTGGAGCCTCTCATTCACCCACCCCATATGTATCACCTTCAGTGGATAAAAATGTTTACAAATTAATTTCAATTTATTATGCCAGGAATAAAATATAACCATAATTCCTGTGGAGAATCTAGTTAATACATTTTTCATGCATAGATCTATATGTGTTGTCCATAAATTCAGATTGTTTACCCTACAGCCAGCACCTTAAAGTTATTGTAGTAATTACAGCACAGAAATTGCAGAGTGTGCATTAATAGCACCTATTTTAAGGAATGTGCCCTTACAGTTCCCTGTAATTATGGGAAACTGAGCAACATAGAACAGCAAGATAGATTTGGGGGCACAAATATATGTTATAGTTACCGTATATGAGAGGCCAAGATGAAGTACGTGTGTTGCACGTACAGAGCATACATTCTATAGTGAGGGACCTAGTTTTATTATTTCTTTAATTAAGAATATTCAGTGTTCTTAATTAAAGAATCTTAAAGATTTCCGCCCAAGATTCTACAAATCAGCTGTCCACCAAAAACCATGGTACTATCAGAACTGGGTAGACAAGACCCACCAAAGTTTTGAAAGAGGTATACCGATTTATTTATTTATTTTTTAAGTTTGTCACCACCCGTCTCACTGCAGAGTGACTCTGGGCAGTTTACAGCAAAAAAGAATAAATATTAATTAAAATAGAATAATTAATTAACAGTACATTATGAAAGGTTCTTATATGAATAACAATATCGTCCTAGAGCACTCAAGTCTTCGGAGGGACTCAGCTGAACCCAGGTTTTTTCCCTTCACACTACACTCATTTGCTGTATCCAGTTCTCAGAGGGGCCATCCGCTGGGTAAAGATTCTGTTAGAAACATGAAACCCATTTTTGTGTAATGCATTTACAGCTGTGCCTAGCCTTCTTTCTGTATTGCTTCTGTTTCTCACTTATGTGATAAAGTAAAATCTGACAGAATAAAGAGCACAGATACCTATTCTGGATTTTTGTGCTTTTGGGTCTCCTACAGATCACCAAAGCCAGAGAAAGGCTTATGCTGAAACAGAAATGACTTTCTGAGGACTTGCAGCTGCAGTGTTAGTGAAAATGTACCAGAGATATATAATTGTCACTAAAGTACATTTATGTAAGCCTATTAAAGGACTCTCAAATCCCAGCTCTTCCCATACTTGTCCTGTGAATGCTAAAGGATCAGAGCAAGTTTCTCCTGGATTTCTGGGGAAAGGTATAATTCACAGAGACTCCCACTTCCTTGAATATAATTCATTTCTGGCCTCTAGATGTCATGTATCTTAGGCTAGTGAAGTGAAAGATGTTCAACAATCAGTCAATGGGTCACTGATCCTAGAAGGTGGCTAAATCAATATACATGAGAAGACTATGCCCACTTTGTTAGGCTTCCATAAACGGGACTCTGCCCAAATGATAGGTAAAATGGAGAAGTTCTCATTTGTGTTCAGAAGTTCAACTGTTGAAGGTTCAGTATAATTCTGAAATTCTGAACCTCTATAATTCTCACACATCTTCCTAGGAATAGTAAAATACCTAGAAAAGAAGGAGTGCAATCCCCAGGAGGAATGCTCTCAACTACTCTTTTTTGTAGAAGGAGGTAGACTTCCTGGCATAACCTTAGAGATACTGTAGAAACTACTGGACAGTTTGGAATGTGGTTCATCCAGAAATCAATCTGCAAACTCTGGGAACAATTACTAGAACCTAAAAACCATTTATTATGGAAGCACTTGTACCTGAAAAAATGGATCAAGTTTTACCTGAATGGCTGAAATGAAGGTTTATCAAGGTCCAAGATGCTCCTTGGAACCTCAAGTCTGGCATATATATTTTTGCTGTACTACTACAGTAGATGTTGAGGTGGTGCTAATGTCCAGAGACGAAAATGTCTCTTTTTGTTTGAAAGTCTGGTGGCTTTGGTCAAGATAGCACTATAGACCATAGTGAGAAAAGACAAAGTAGGGTTGCTGTACTCCTTACTTGCATATAGCAGGCTATCCTCCTTGCAGTCTGGACTGGAAACAGTTAATCCAAGGAACAAGAATCCAAGAAATCTAGTTAATAGTATTTATTAGAAGGAAGGTAAAGGTTGTAACGTGAGACTTTGAGCAAGATCTCTACTTTCAGCTACCTGTATACAATTAGGGCAGAAAATTTCCCTTTGCTTTTCTTCAACTTTTTCTTTGTAGAGGGCTGGACACCTGCCCCACTTGGGAAGGAGAGGCAGTTTGCATCTATCACATTTTGATAACTTTTTAAACTTTTATCAGGATGAGAAGTATCCTCTCCCTGTGTCACTAAAAAAGCCAGAACTGCTCTTCTTTCTTCCTCTCTCCAAGTAGACAAAGAATGTCACCCTGCCACTCAACCCACTCTCTGAGTCAGAAGATAAATAAATATTTCCTCCTGAGAAGTCTTAGGTGAATGGGCTTGGACACATCAGCATTCTGGACACCAATTCATTCAAATCTTGATCTATCCCCCTAACGCCCAGTAGTGAGTAGGCAGTGGGAAAATCTTTATGTCAGCTTGAGGATCAGGGGAAGACAGAGAAACTGCCCAATCCAGGCTTTAGGTAAGCTTTCTTTCTTTCTTTCTTTGGTTCAGACATTTGTTTGTCCCCAAATCTCCCTTTTGACTTCAATGTTTATGCCTGAAGAGCAGCTGCTAAGGAAGATGTAGCATTTCAGTGAAATCTACCTTGAAGTCCCTATTTCCATATTATACCTAGCAACTTATATTATTTCCAGGATTTCTTAATTACATTGCATTGTAATCAATGATTCCACACACCAGTCCCATCTTCCAGACTATTTACATAAACTGTGACATCTACAATTTGTGTGCCCATATCCTAAAACTGAAGATGGCTGTTCAGATGAGTCTTCTGAAGATTTGTCTTGCAGTAAAGAACTATCATGGTTACATTAGTATCTATTATATCTAATGCATGTTATTGATCAAATAGAGCTTTTGATGATCTCCAATGAAAAGTTATCTGACTGAAAACTGAATTCATTTCTAAAATTAAAACTAAAAACTAA